TTTTTTTTTTTTTTTTTTTTTTTTTTTTTTTTTTTTTTTTTTTTTTTTTTTTTTTTTTTTTTTTTTTTTTTTTTGGACGTTACACTCCCACTTTCCATATCACATCTTTATTGTTTATTTCATTTATTATACACGTACATGAATACTCAGTTTTGACTAGACTTTAATTATATGCTATTAATATTTTGTTTTTTTTTTTCAAAACAAAAAAATTTCTTTCTTTTAAATTTTTTTTTTTTCTCTAAAAGTCAAATTTAAGTGGATTGACTTACTGAAAGGCAAGAGTAAATATTTGTGTGGCTGATGGGTTTGGGGGCAGAAGTAATGTGGGCTTTGTTATGGATGCAGACCCAACATCAGGAAATCTAGTGGGGCATGCAGCAAAGGAGAAGGAGCAATTCGGGTGGGCGATCAGGGTTTTAAGATTGAACTGTAGGATTAGTGTTTTCTTGCTTTATGCCCTTTTCCATTGAGAAGCAACGCAAAGACGGGGAAAGTGGAGGTGGCAATACTTGCCTTGACAAGCTCGCAACCACCTTGGCCACCAGTCTATGACTTCAAAGCCAAGCATATCTTTGCCGATGTTCATCTTTTAACTAACTCCAAATATAATAGAAGGCTTTGGGAATCCAAAATCCAAGTGGTTTAGATACATACAAATAAATTCTTAAAGCAAAACCCAGCTCCAATTTTGCAATCTATGCTCATCTCGTTCACATCAAATTTGGAATAGCAAAATGAATTGCAATTCGCAGAGAAGAGTGGGAATCAAATGTGGAAGAAAGCTGGTAGTGTGGGGATGTTTTGGTAACAAAAAAAAGTCCAAAACGACGATGGATAAGCGCAGCAGCTCGGCCAACACTACTGGGAAGAACAATTGGCGACAATTAATTGGGTCAAACAATTGGGAAGGCCTTTTGGAACCACTGCAAATCGAGCTCCGACGCTACATATTGCACTACGGACAAATGGCGCAGGCAACCTACGACACATTCAACACCGAGAAGGCGTCGAAATTCGCGGGAAGCAGTCGGTATTCGAAGCAAGATTTCTTCGCCAAAGTCGGGTTAGAAAAGGGGAACCCATTCAAATACAGTGTGACCAAATTTTTGTACGCAACTTCGCAAGTGAAGGTGCCGGACGCTTTCATTGTGAGGCCGTTGTCGAGGGAGGCTTGGAGCAAAGAATCGAATTGGATTGGGTACGTGGCGGTGGCGACCGACGAAGGGGCGGCGGAATTGGGGCGGAGAGATATTGTGATTGCTTGGAGAGGCACTGTGAGAAGCTTGGAGTGGATTGATGATATGGAGTTTGTTTTGACGTCGGCTCCCCAAATATTTGGGCAGTCCAGCGATGTCAGGGTCCATCAGGGTTGGCATTCTATTTACACTTCCGATGATCGCCGTTCTCCCTTTGCCAAGACCAGCGTCAGAAGCCAGGCAAGTCGTCCTTCGTTAACAAGATGATATTACTGATTTATATACCCATTCATTTACTAAATTATCCGATGTGGGATTCTTTCCAACATTAGAAAATTACATTAACAAAAATAAATAATAAATTGGGATTAATTTCAAAAATATTTATTTTAGCACAGACTATGAGATCCCAAATTTGGTTTGATTTCTATGAGTGACTCAGTTCATCATTACACACTGAGCAGGTTCTCAGCGAGGTGAAAAGGCTGGTAGAGCAATACAAGGACGAAGAGACTAGCATAGTCACGACGGGACACAGCCTTGGCGCAGCAATAGCCACGCTAAACGCCGTAGACATAGTAGCAAACGGACTCAACATTCCAGGCAGCAGGCAGCCAAAGGCAGCGCCAATTCCAGTGACGTCCTTCGTTTTCGCCAGCCCCAGAGTGGGAGATTCAGATTTCAAAAGGGTATTCTCGGAGCTCAAAGATGTACACGTTTTACGAGTGAAAAACGCGATGGACGTTGTCCCAAATTACCCAATTATCGGTTACTCGGACGTGGGCGAGGAACTGGAAATCGACACTCGAAAATCGAAGTACTTGAAGAGCCCAGGGAGCTTGAGTAGTTGGCATAATTTGGAGGGTTACCTGCATGGAGTGGCAGGAACGCAGGGGAGTAAAGGAGGGTTTAAGCTGGAGATTGAGAGGGACATTGCGTTGGTTAATAAGAGCCTGGATGCGTTGAAAGAGGAGCATCTCGTGCCAGTGGCTTGGCGATGTTTGCAGAATAAGGGTATGGTTCAACAGAGTGATGGGTCTTGGAAATTGATGGACAACGAGGAGGAACATGAATTTTGATCCTTTATTTGTTGTTGCTCATTAACTATTCATTTTGCTTCATTTCTTTCATTTGGATTTCTTTTACTTTATGTATAATTAATGCATCATTTCTGTCAAAATGAAGCAATTATTGTTCATAGCCCCATTGGAAATAAATATTTAAAGATTTATTATTATTATTACTCCACCATTATTTCATTACAAACAACCAAACCCTCTTTTTTATTTCTTATTTCATTTCCTTCCATTCCCAACGGTCACACCGTTAGTAGATATTATCCGTTTTAGCTCGTTACGTATCGCCATAAGCGTCACGATTTTAAAATTCATCTACTAGGGAGAGGTTTCTACACCCTTATAAACAATGTTTTGTTCTCCTCTACAAACCGACGTGGGATCTCACAATTCAACCCCCGCTGGTTCATTGCCCAGTGTCTGATTCCGATATAATTTGTAATAATACAACAAACTCACTGCTAATAGATATTGTCCGCTCTGGCTTCATCACGATTTTAAAATGCATTTACTAGGGAGACGTTTCCACACTCTTATAAGGAATGTTTCGTTCCCTTTTTTAACCGATGTGAAATCTCACATTTGAAACAGCATACTAACGTTCTAATTCTTTAGGGTGGAATAGTTCAATATTATGGTATAACGAGAGATAGTTGTATATGGTTGACCTTCAAATTCAACAACAACATTATGGACATTATGGAGTTATAAGTATATCATTATCTTGTTTCAAATACGTTGCATAGTTTGAATTACAAATGATATGCCCATGAAGAGCTTCTATCTACTTTTGTTGACCAACTGGTTCATCTGGGCTGGCCCCCTCAAGCTGCAGCCATGGAATTTCATCCCAACTTGCTCATTAAAATAATAACAAAACCAAAGCCTCCAATACGTTCTCTTTCAAACTCATCCATTCAACTCCACCACCATTATTTTCTTCTTTTTTGATTATAAGCACTTGCCAATAATGGAAATGCATATGTCGACATGTCGTCATAACATGTTCCTTGCACCATTCTCTAATATAAAGATGGAGAAATTCATTGTTAATTTCACGATGTTGACTTCTTCAATAATTTATTTCTTAGCTATAAGAACAGAAAGTCAATGGCAAATCCCACTTTCTTAGTTATTTCAATATTTTGTTGGTGTTAAAATGTGTTCGTGTTAGTAAGACATCAATCTCGACTTAGTTCAAATGGTTAAGATATTCATTCCGTCGAAAAAAAGAAATTTATTTCTTATCGAACAAAAAAAAAATGTATGAGGAAAAAGGATTTTTTAATATCGTTCCGTGTATACGTACCTAAATTAATTTTTAAATTATGATGCAAATATGACCCAATCAAGAATAAGAATAAAAGTTTACGTATAAGTAAGGCAAATTTTATAGTCAAACCTTGTCCTCACAACTATGTAAACGATTAACTCATACAAAATTTGATTTTCCCAAATTAATACAAATCAAAGCAAATCAAAAAGGCAATTTTTAGACATGTTCGGATGGAGGATTGTGTTTACTTTGAATTCAACTCTTCAAACCAAATTATATTAAAGGACGAAATTGTATTCAATGACCGTACCACTCTAGTTAAACTATCGAGTGACTACGTAAGAAATTATCAATTAATTTTGAGGTAGAACTCCATATTAAATAATTTATCAATCATTACAACTAAGATCGAAAATGATCAATGTATTTCATTTTCTTTCATAAAAACAAGAACTCTACTCTAATTAAATAGTTGAGTGTTGTAATGCCATGCACGTATATCACATCTTTTATTGCATTACCTAAAATATGATCCATATATTCAATATAATAAACATTCTATCGAGTTACCAATAATTAATATGATATTATTTACTTTAATCAGAATATGTCACGGAGTTGTGTTATTTTTATTTATATGAACTTAAAATATATCCCATTTTTATTGGATAGGAAGCTGTGTTTGCATCCATTAGCTACATTTTAATAATTTGATGGCTAGTTGAAAGAAGCCTTAAGAGATTTTTTAAAATAAATTAAAAAAAAAAAAAAAAAAGGACACGTCAGGCTTCTGTGAGTTTTGGAGTTTGACTGGTCAATAGAAAGCACAGTGTAATGGAATGTATTCCAAGTCAGACTTCGAAACCCTATAAAATCCAAGGAAGCAGCTGCCACTCCAATCACCTTTGTCTCGCTCTCTTCACTTCTTGAAATATGGCAACTCCCGTAAGGTTCTCGAGCTGTAGAGGCGTTGCCTTTGAAGTGAAAGCTCAGGAACATCAACTCTCCCATCAAAGTAGTGTCTCCTTTACAACATTCCTTTCATCTTCATCTTCACTACGAAGATCACTAAGCAAACCAAGCACCCATTTCTGTGACATTGACCCTGACCAACAAAAACTCCAACCCCTCTCCGATGAAGACGAGAATGAGCTGCAATCACTCGAACAAGGACACTACGTTCCACCCCCACAAAACCCCTCTCCCCCTAACCCAAAATCAAGGCTCTCCGTCATTCTCCTCGACCAAGGCCTCTTCACCGTCTACAAGCGCCTCTTTATTCTCTCTGTTTCATTAAACATAACTGCCCTCATTCTCGCCCTCACTCGCAATTTCCCTTATGCAAGAAACAACCCTGCTCTGTTTTCAATCGGCAACATATTCATGTTGTGTCTTTGCCGAAGTGAGGCGTTTTTGCGTGTTCTATTTTGGTTAAGCGTCTCAATTATTGGAAGATCATGGGTCCCTCTCTGTGTCAAAACCTCCCTAACTTCTCTCCTACAGAGCTTAGGTGGCATCCATAGCGGCTGTGGAGTTTCCTCCATTGCATGGCTTGTGTACGCATTATTAATACAGATTCTCGAGGACCCAAAAAACGCGTCCCCAGCCATGATTGCAGTTGCCTCAGCAATTCTAGCCCTTCTTTGCCTCTCTTCATTAGCAGCATTCCCCCTCGTTCGCCACCTCCACCACAATGTCTTCGAGCGAACGCACCGTTTTGCCGGATGGGCTGCTCTGGCTCTCCTCTGGGCCTTCATTATTTTAAAATTGACTTACGACCCAATTACCAAATCATACACTAACCCCCTCGGTTCCCGTTTGGTTAAGAATCAGGAATTTTGGTTCACAGCCGCAATCACTTTCCTAATTATTCTCCCCTGGGTTACGGTCAGGCGCGTTCCTGTTCAAATCTCTGCCCCTTCCGGACATGCCTCGATTATCAAATTCAACGGTGGGGTCCAACCTGGGTTATTGGGCCGAATCAGCCCATCGCCGTTATCAGAATGGCACGCATTTGGGATCATTTCCGACGGCCAAAAAGAGCACATGATGTTAGCCGGAGCAGTTGGCGATTTCACGAAATCTTTGGTGTCGAACCCACCGAGCCACTTGTGGGTCCGTGGGGTCCACTTCGCCGGACTTCCTTATTTGGTGAATATGTACGAGAGAGCTCTGGTGGTAGCGACGGGATCTGGGATCTGCGTGTTTTTGTCGTTTCTGATACAGAGAAGTAGGGCTGACGTGTATTTGGTGTGGGTAGCCAAAGGGATCGAGGAGAATTTCGGGAAGGAGATTAAGGAGACGGTAAACGGGTACCCGAAGGAGAAGGTGATTATTCACGACACGAAGGTTTCGGGGCGGCCGAATGTGGCGGAGCTGACAGTGAAGGCGGCCGGAAAATGGAAAGCGGAGGTGGTGATTGTTACGAGTAATCCGGAAGGAAGTAGAGATGTGGTGAATGCGTGTAAGAGGTCTGGAATTGCGGCTTTTGGTCCGATTTGGGATTCCTGAAACATGGAAACTCACACTCCAACCTGGTTTCATATTATCATTTAATTCTTTACTTATTTTTAATTACAGAAATTATTCAAATTTTTATCAAAATATATTAAAATTCAGAAATAAACTTTGAATATGATGAATAGACAAGGCACTATGAATAATGCAACACGTGATTTTCATTTTAGATTGAGGAAAATTTAACAAGGGAAAGGAATTTAGGTGCCCATTTAAATAATTTTACATCTATCAATCACATCAAAAAGGCTAATCGGATACTTAATGTGATTGTACAATCAACCTACCCTTGATTAATATCAAATTACAATTATAATAATTTAATTTAATCCAACTGGAATACATTATCATCGTCCATTCAACTCAACAAGATAGGAGAGAGTAACAATCACATTTTTGTGAATTTAAACAAACACGGAGATTCATATAACATAAAAAAATAAAATAAAATAAAATTTATTGGGATTGAAGTAACTTGGTTGAGCTTTTTTTTATTGAAAAATACTAAATTGAGGAGCGGTGAATATGTCTTCCAACACGCTAATTGCTATCAATTCATATGTGGCTTCAGTCAAGTGAAGTCCATCCCAACTAAAGTGTTTGGAAGGATCATCACACACAATGGTGGAGGGCAATCCACATGGCACAGGAAAATTAATTGTTCTATTCCCATCCACACAACAAACTTGTTCAATATCCACGAATCCTGCATAAAACAACAAGAACACCTTTATCAATGAATTTTACACCTTCCTTCTTTCAAATCAAGCGAAAGTAGATTTACCGAAATTCTTTGGAGCATTGAACAGGCGCATAGCAGCATTGAAATAATCTGCATAGATGAGATGGACGTGCGGATGGAGAGCTCCAATCCGCTCGAGTTCTTGTTGGAGTTGTTCATTATGGTACTCTGAAAATTGGTTCAACCATTTCAAACAACCATTTTTTGAGTCGTAGTGTTCTCCATTTGATGTCTTAAACAATTTGAGATACATTGGAACACACCCAATAGGAAAATTTCCCGGAACCATTATAGTGTCTACACCTAACTCAATCAACTCCTATAAAAAAATAATTCCATAAAACAATAAGTTTTCTTTACCTTTGGTAAACCAACGATGACATTTATGGCATATAAATTAGAAATACGAGTCCATACCCTGATTGCGGACCCAATTTGTTTGATCACCAATGGTACTAAAGAGGCCACTTCTTCAATGTTGCGTTTATCAAACAAAAAGTCATTGTAATCATTCCCTCCTATTTCACCCATAATAAATAGGGATTTTTTAAACATATCCTTGCACCCTGTAATCAAAAAAAATACCATGAACAGTATCCATTTCAAAAAGAAAAAAAAAAGTAGGTAAGAATTGAACCCAGGAATTAGACCCGGTTCGTATTTTCCGTAAGTTTAGTCTCTGTTCTTCGAGAGATTCCCCTGAAACTGAGAGAAATATGGTTGCCAGAAAGTAATTTAAGATGGAAAAAGAAGAAAAACGAACCCGAGGAAGCAGAAGATGCGCAAACGGAAGAATATGTTTTCTTGAACCAATCCAGTTGAATCTCGAGGGAGACGGCGTGAGATGGCACATTATGGACTCCCCTTTCTTCAAAATACGACAGATTCAGCGCAGTTGCTCCCCCAACAGCGAAATTCAAGCCCTTCCTAAATTCCTCAGCGCTAATCCCCTCTTCTCCCAGCCCCACACTCCGGTATGGGCGTACCAGTGGAAGCCCCAACGATGTAGCTGCAAAACATTGAATTAAGATGAATTCTCGGTATTATCTGGAAACAGAACATTATAACATAATTGGGTTAGAGACCAATGAAGTCGAGGATGACACGGCCGTCGGAGAATCGGCCGGTGGGGCGATGGAAGAAGGTCTCCCCGTAAGGAAGGAAGCAAACATGGACAGGATTAGGAGAGGAACAGGTGTAATAGAGATTTCCGGTGTCGGAAAGGGAATCGCCGAAGTTGAAGATGGAGGTGTAGCGTCCAAAAACAGAGTGGACGGCAAAGGCAAAGGCAAAAGCAAGATGAAGTAAAGATGGTGGAGTCATTGAGAATGAAAAGGAAGGAATTGTGGGAGACATGGAGGAAGAAAGATGAAGCTACTTGATACCATTTGAAGTAATATAATGGTGGATGGTAGGTGGAATGGGGCCTCAATAAACAACATAATTCATAAACACAAACCAGAATGGTTTTCGTTGAAAGTAACAAATATATAATAATTATTTGATGTAATAAGAAATTTTTCTTTTAAAAAAAAAAACCATCTCTATCTCTATTAAATAGAGTCAACAAAAATGAAAATTAAAAGTTATTGTAATTGTAGTAACTTGGTCGAGCTATTTTGTTGAAGAATACTAAATTGAGGAGTCGTGAATGAGCCTTGCATCAAATTAGTCGCCATCAATTTATATGTTGCTTCGGTTAAATGAAGACCATCCCAACTAACATATTTGGAAGGATCATCACACACAATTGTTGATGGCAATCCACAGGGCATTGGAAAGTAGTATGATCTATTCTCATCCACCCAACAAACTTGGTGGAGATTTGTAAATCCTGCAAAAGAAGGAGAACACAATCTTACACATTTCGTTTTCTTTATAGATTTCCAATCAAAATATGGGAAGATTTTAGTAGGGTAGATTTACCGAAGTTCTTTGGAGCATTGAGGATGTCCATAACTGCATTAAAATAATCTGCATAGATGAGATGAACGTGTGGGTGGAGAGCGCTAATCCTCTGGAGTTCTCGTTGAAGTTGCTCATTATGGTACTTAGAACATTGGTTCAACCATTTCAAACAACCATTTTGTGGGTCATATTGGCCTCGATTTGACGTTGCATACACTTGGAGATATATTGGGAGACACCCAATAGGAAAGAATGGATTTTTTTGTAAATTTGATGAACAAATAACAACTTTATTTTTGGTAGCGAATAAAGTAGAAACACAAAAGTTATACCGTGATAGTGGAACCAATTTGTTTAACAACCAATGGTACCAAAGATGTGACTTGTGTAATGTTGCGATTATGGAAGAAAAAGTAGTTGTAATCGTTGCCTCCTATTTCGCCCATGATAAATAGCGAATTTTTAAATATATCCCTGCACTCTGTAAACAAAAACAAAAACTGCCTTTTATTTTCATGGGTTGAGAAATGAAGATTCAAAAACGAAAATTCATGGAAGTAGAAGGGCTCTTAAGATCTAATTTCATTGTTTATGGTGGTTTCGGAGTATTATTTAGGCAAATTTTCATTTGTTTTACTTTTTACTTCTCGAAATTATATAAAAGTTTGAATTTTTTTTTTAAAAGTAAACATATTTTCCGTACGTTTAGTCTCTGTTCTTAATTTTAAAGCAGAGAGAGAGAGAGAGAGAGAGAGAGAGAGGAAGAAGAACATACTAGAAGAAGGAGAAGATGCGCAAACGGAAGAGTATGTTTTGTTGAACCAATGGAGTTGAATCCCGAGGGACACGGCGTGAGATGGCACATTATGGATTCCCCTTTCTTCAAAATACGACACATCGAGCGCAGTTGCTCCCCCAACCGCGAAATTCAAGCCCTTTCCAAATTCCTCAGCGCTAATCCCCTGTCCTCCCAGCCCCACACTCCGATATGGGCGAACCAGAGGAAGCCCCGACGATGTAGCTGCAAGACATTGAATTAAGATGAATTCTTGGTATTATCTGGAAACAGAACATTATAACATAATTGGGTTAGAAATTGAGAAGAGACCAATGAAGTCGAGGATGACACGGCCGTCGGAGAATCGGCCGGTGGGGCGATGGAAGAAGGTCTCCCCGTAAGGAAGGAAGCAAACATGGGCAGGATTAGGAGAAGAACAGGTGTAATAGAGATTTCCGGTATCGGAAAGGGAATCGCCGAAGTTGAAGATGGAAGTGTAGCGTCCAAAGACAGAGTGGACGGAAAAGGCAAAGGCAAAAGCAAGATGAAGCAAAGGGATCGAGGGAGCCATGGAGGAAGGAAGAAGATGAAGGTAGTTGGTATTTATTCCACCTAATTTTATTATTATTATTATTATTATTATCATGTATTTAAAAAAGGGTTGGTAATGAATATGAAATTTGAAAACTACTTTAATTATGGTATTACATCAACCTTTTGTTGATCGGAGATGTTTGGTGAAGGTTGTGGGAGGGAAAAAAAGAGAGGATATTATGAAATTTCTTAATTTCACCGACATCCAAACACACTGGTCCATTCATTTGTTACAATCGTGGGACTCACCATGTTACAATTGCTTTACTTTGCTCATGAGATTCACACCATCTTTTTATTATTATTATTATTATTATTATTATTATTATGAAATTTCTCCACGTTCATAAAATGAATTCAAACCACACAATTATTTTTCTATTTTCATAAAAAACAAAACCACTACTCCTATTTTTCATTAATAATGTCACCACCCACATATATATATATATATATATATGGAAATTACAAAAAATGAGTAAAGTTGTATAAAATTGTTTGATGTTACAATTTTATATAAATAAATTATTTTTAATAATTTCATTCTTTAATTTTAGATAATTAACTGTTAATTATTTTATTCAAATTTGTATTTCTATTTTTGCGTTAAAATTTAAGTTTTTGAATTTATTTTGGAATGGACCGTGATAATTATCATTAAATAAATTATTTGAATTATAAATACTTTGTATAAGTTATATTTTATAAAATTTTTTTTTTTGTGGAAATAAATTATATATATAAGTTATTATTAATTTATTATAATTAAATAATTAATTATAATAATTTTGTAAAGTGAAAAGAGAATAAGAAGGAAGAAAAATAAAGATGACAAAAGAAGTACTGAAGAGAGAAAGAGAAGAGAAACGGAAATGAAATGAAAAAAGATTAAATTTTTGGAAACCCATGCCCATTCAATCGATGAACCCAATTAAATTTCAGAATTTGTGACGGATCATCGTCCTTTATGCTACTCTGTAAGCCTAAATTCATCTTCTGGACTTCGAAACAGAGATTGAATGTCCATGTCTTCTCCACCGTTTCCCATTTACCTCCTCCTCTTTCTTCTCTTCCCCCAATATCTGGGATTACCCAAATTAAGCAAGCCCATGCTCGTAGTGTCGTCTTCGGCCTTGCTAATGATGGCCGCATCATGGGTCACCTCCTCGCTTTTCTTGCCGTTTCTTCCTCTTCATTGCCGTATGAGTACGCCTTCTCAATTTATCAGTCTATTTCTCATCCAAGTGTTTTTGCCACCAATAACATGATACGGTGCTGCGCAAAAGAGGAGTTATCTTGCGAGTCGATATCTCTTTACTCACACATGCGCCGAAGTCTTGTGGCGCCTAATAAACATACTTTGACCTTTGTATTGCAAGCTTGCAGTAACGCTTTGGCTATCTGCGAAGGGATTCAAGTTCAAACCCATGTCATAAAATTTGGTTTTGCTAAAGACGTTTTCATTCGAAATGCGTTGATTCACTTGTATTGTACTCATTGCAGAGTTGAATGTGCGAAGCAGGTATTTGATGAAGTTCCTAGTAGTCGAGATATAGTTTCCTGGAATTCAATGATTGCTGGTTTTGTTAGAGCTGGGCAGATCAATGTTGCAGATAAACTGTTTGTTGAAATGCCTGAGAAAGATGTGATCTCATGGAGCGCGATGATATCTGGGTGTGTTCAAAATGGGCTATTGGAGAAGGCGTTAGACTGCTTTAATGAGATGAGGGAGCAAAAAATGAGGCCGAATGAGGCAATATTGGTGTCCATGCTCGCAGCAGCATCCCAATTGGGTATGCTTGAGTATGGAAAAATGATCCATTCCATTGCGGACTCCTTGAAATTCCCAATGACTGCTTCTCTTGGCACAGCACTAGTTGACATGTATGCTAAGTGCGGTTGTATTGATGAGTCCAAATTCTTGTTCGACCGAATGCCCCAGAAAGATAAATGGACTTGGAATGTTATGATTTGTGGTTTAGCATCGCATGGCCTTGGGCAAGAAGCGCTTGCATTATTTGAAAAGTTTCTAACACAGGGTTTCTACCCAGTCAACGTGACATTCATTGGAGTCTTGAATGCGTGTAGCAGAGCTGGTTTAGTCAGCGAGGGAAGACGTTTTTTTAAGCTAATGACGGACACATATAAGATTATACCAGAGATGGAACACTATGGTTGCATGGTTGATCTCTTCAGCCGTGCTGGGTTCGTTTATGATGCTGTTGAAATGATTAACAGGATGCCTGCTCCTCCGGACCCTGTGTTGTGGGCAACGGTGCTTGGTTCATGCAAGGTTCACGGATTTATAGAACTGGGTGAAGAGATTGGGAACAAGTTGATTCAAATGGATCCCACTCACAATGGGCATTATGTCCAGTTAGCGGGTATCTATGCCAGACTAAGAAAATGGGAAGATGTAAGCAAGATTAGGAGACTAATGGCTGACAGAAACTCCAACAAAATTGCAGGGTGGAGCTTGATTGAAGCAGGAGGAAGAGTTCACCGATTTGTGGCAGGAGATAAGGAGCATGAACAATGTACAGAGATCTACAAGATGTTGGAGACAATTGGAGTACGAATAGCAGCAGCGGGATACTCAGCAAACGTTTCATCAGTACTGCATGACATAGAGGAAGAAGAAAAAGAAACTGCCATTAAAGAGCATAGTGAAAGGTTGGCAATTGCTTTTGGGTTGCTGGTGACTCAAGTTGGTGACTGTATTCGTATTATCAAGAATTTAAGAGTTTGTGGCGATTGCCATGAGGTAAGTAAGATCATTTCTCGAGTATTTGAAAGAGAAATAATTGTTAGAGATGGCAGTAGATTTCACCATTTTAAGAATGGTAGTTGTTCTTGTCTAGATTATTGGTGAAAGATACGATTTAGCCCATCCAAGTTCGAATTAAATTATTTGTCTCTCACCATTTTTGAGCAAATTGAATGATATGCTATTCTAGACAATGAAACCTGACATAACCCAAGCATTTACAATATATCCAAAAGAGCAGAGCAGCTCTCCATTTTAGCATACAACATAAAGTGAATGAAGAACTCTGCTATTTTATTCTCTTTTTGATGTCACTCTTAACAGTCGGTTATTGAGGATTTGGAGGGCGACTGTTAGCAGAGGCCACACGAGACCCCCATTCTAGTAGCTCTTTGCTCGTGTCGTCTTTGTGCACCAGAACTTCGATGAAACACAATGATTCTTTGTGTTCGTCGTTCGCGGTCGCAATTGCTTCTATTAGTTCTTCCTCTGTTTGTACCTATTGATTTGAGCAGAAGTTGAATTACTAAATAAGGATGAATCGTGATGAGTTGTTTAGGAGTGAGTTAAGACTTTGGGCTAACCTTGGCCGTCCAGCATTTTCCTTCACCATTGTGAATGGCATCGACCACTCCAGTGTAGTTCCAGTTCTTGATAACATTGTATGGACCATCGTGAATCTCTACGTCTATGGTATATCCTCCATTGTTAATGAGGAAGATGATGGTCCTTTGCCCACATTTAATCATTGTTGAAATATCTTGAGCCGTCACCTGAAAGAAAGTTCACGAGTTTATGATTTGTAAGAGTCTATACGCAGTTCGAGTCCTTTTGAGTTATCAAATCAAACTCAACCATCGAGCTAATAGCAAACCTGGAAACTCCCATCACCAATACAGGCGATTATACGCTTATCTTTATTGGCCTGAGCATATCCCAAAGTGGCACCTACTGACCATCCAACAGAACCATATTGCATTTGGAATTCATAGCTGAACAGAGCCACACAAAAGAATTACACTCTGCAACTGAAAAAAGCTTTAAAAAACACAGAAGAAAACCAAGCTGACCCGCAATTCTCAGGAAGACGAAGCTTCTGACAGTTGAACCATGAATCACCAATTTCAGCAATTACCGCAGTGTCACCGGACAACATATTCTAAAGGAAAGTAAGAAAGAAAAAAGAAGAACACCACCGTCAAGAAATTGGAAACTTTTATACTGTTAAAGATTCATATGGTAAACCTGAATATGTTTGAAGAGAACATTGACTCGTAAAGGTTCGTCCTTTGCATAGTTGAGAGGGATACTGTAACGTCCGAAGAAAAAAAAAAAAAAAAAAAAAAAAAAAAAAAAAAAAAAAAAAAAA